GTTTTGGAAACGGTGGAGAGGGTCATCGGGGAAGAAGATTTCGGAGAGTCTGTGTCTGAGTTTATGGAGAGTGGTTTGTTGGGGTGGCAACTGCACTGCATGGATTTGAAATGATGGCATGGTTTGGATTTTGATGGTGGTTTCATGGCTGTCGAAGTGTTCCACTCTGTTGGAGTTAACACCCATTGTTGATTATTGATTGTTGATTGTTGCTGCTTAGTGCTTACACAACAGCCGCAGCGTTCATGCCAATTTATAGAAAACACATGTCTTACGTCTTACTTCGCATTCGCAACCGTCCATGTTACTGCTTCGCCTAGGGACTTCTTCGTCATTTCATTTCCTAGTTACGGTTATTATATTCTACACGCTCGCTTTTTCTTTGACTCATTTTTACAATAAATATATACTCTCACTAATTATGTCATATTAACTTCAAATTTCAAATTGCAATTGGATAGTGTCTGTACAAGCTTCGCGTTTTTTAGGTTTTAATTTTATATTATTTTTTTCTTTTTGTATTGTTAAGCATGTTTTTAAGGTAATATGTGATTGGTACGAAGTACCCACTTAAATCAAAAGTCCATTATCTTTAGTTATTAGTATGAGATATTTAACAATTTTATTGATAATTAATTTTTATTAAAAAAATTTATTAATAAATTTTAATAGAGTTTTTTTTAATCATTTTTTTTATACACAACTCAAATTCAAGATATTACTTAAAGTTAAAAGGACTTAGTTCGAAAAAAAAAACTTTTTTTTTTATTTTTTATTTTATTTTGAGAAGTATGTTTAAATGTCATATAAGTAAATGAAGATAAATATTTACTAAAATACAGTTTTATTCGTAATCATTTTGGTGTAATATTAATAATTAATAATCTATATTTTTAATAAAGCTAACATATTTTTTCCTTTTAACTTCTTGAACACTCTTTTTATTTCACACTTTAATTTATTTTTTATTCTTTATTTCTCTGTAATTTTATCTTCAAACTTTTCGCCCTCTATATATAATTATCTACAATCATTTATAACATCTAATTATTAACCGGTCGCAAATATTTTATTTTATTTTTATCGTTTACTTAATTTTTAAGTTTTATACAAAACACATAATGACATAAAGTATGTTTTTTTATATTGGTTATAATAAAAAGAATAGTCTCTGTCATATTTAGTTTTTTCAAGTAAGGTTTCGAGTCTTATAAGTAGAAAAATTGTAATCGAATAAAATATTTCACTAAATCTAATCAGTCAACTTTCTCAATGAATATTAATTTTCAATAAAATTGATAAATATTTTATATTAATAAATTATAAAATAACAGTTACAACAAAAAGAATATCTTCTTGAATATCCTCTTTTGAATATTATGCTATTGAACTTTATATTTTATTTATTCTCTAAATTATTTATTATTTTATTCTTTAGTTATTTGATCATATTTAATAAGTTTTTCTTTCCAATCATATATATTTTATTCATAAAATTTAAATTCAAAATATTATTTAAAGTGATCGTGTTTAGCTTTACATTATTTAAATTACCTAATACCTACATACTATTTTATTTATAAAAAAAAAATTGAACAAACATAAATATCTCTCTTTCCTCTAATACAAAAAGGAGGAGTGTTTTCAACACACTCATCTTAATATACTATTTTTTTATTGGATAAAATTGAGAGTTGCAAAATTTGGAGATAGTTATTAAATAGGATTAAGCCCGCCAATCTTCATTTAAAATATGTGTTAAAAACTTACAAAGTTTGGATAAATGTCAATACAAAGATTCTTCGTGAATGTAATATTCACAAATACATAATATATGAAAAATGAATTTTAATTAGTATATACTTTATTTTCATTATAGATAAATTTAGATATTGTTGTTCCTCAAGTGAGATAATATTTTAAAGAAAAATTGTATATCGATCCTTATATATTAAATATCAACATCTATCTTATATGTAGGCATGACAATCTAACCCGCCCTCGTAGTATCCGCCCGAACCCGCCCCAATTTGGATGGGGAAAACCCGTGTTTATCGGGTTTGGGTTCGGGTTCGAGTTCGGGTTTGGGTTTGGGTTCGGGTTCGGGTTTTCCCTGATTGATAAAATCGGGGGCGGGGGCGGGGACGGGGGCGGGGATGTTAATACCCACCCCGCCCCCATACCCGCCCTCGTTCCCGTCCCGCTTAATAATATAATTAAAAAATTATTTGTGTATATATATATATATATATATAAACCAAAATTATAAATATTTATAAGTAAAAATTTATATTATTTTACTTTT